CGGCGCGCGCGCTGGCCCGGCAGCATGGCGGCGGCGGCGGGTGCCCCTCCGCTGGGTCCGCCGCAGCCGCCTCCGCCGCCGGCGCCCGAGGAATCGTCGGACAGTGAGCCCGAGGCAGAGCCCGGCTCCCCACAGAAGCTCATCCGCAAGGTGTCCACGTCGGGTCAGATCCGTCAGAAGGTGAGCCCGCGGTGCGGTGACCGGGCGCGCGCCCCTCACGCTGCGGCTCCCCGCCGAGGCCCGGGGCCCTGCGGAGCGGCCGCCCAGGCCCCCGCCGGCCCGGGGTCCCGCGGGCGCCGCTGCTGGACCGAGCGGGGGCCGCTGCGGTAACGGGCCGGCGTCGCGGCCGAGCCCCGTCTCTGGCGGGCTGGGGGTCGGGGGACGCAGTGGGCGCCGCGCTGGGGGGCGCGTGCCGCGGAGGGCCGGGAGCGAGCCCCGTGCGGCGCTGCGAGACCCGAGGAAACTGAGGCCCAGAGGCGGGGGTTGCGCTGGTCTAGCCGCGCGGGCCCGGAGTGGGGGCGCCTAGCTGCGCCCCGCAGGCACGCACGCTCCGCGAGGCCCGGGGCCGCAAGACTCTGGGCGCTGGGCAGGCTCTCTCCCTCTGGGCGTTGTGCACAGTATCTTATGGTACCCCCAGAAGTCCCCTGGGACCCGGTCCTGGGGTCTAACCTTCACCCCTTCCTCCCAAAAAGGGAGGGATGCGCGTCCAGCGACCTGCTCTCCCCACTCGGGAAAGTGCGCATCCGCTGGGCACCGAACTCTCCGTGGAGAAGTCCACACGCTGCGTATGAGGTGTGTAGAAGACGCATGTCCCTTTGCAAGAACAAAGTTGCACCCTTTGTTTACCCGTTGTGGTTCCTGTTGGAAACTGCTTATGGTTTTGCTACGGTGAGCCTTCCCTGTTGGACCAGGGTTTTCTCTGGCAGGTGGCTGGACAGGTGGCTGAGAGAGGTTGAATCCGTGAGGCAGCCCTGGCAGTTCCGGCTGGCACAGGCTTTCTCATCCTGCTGCAGTGCGCTTTCCCTCCAGGGCCAGTTAGTCCCTTTACCGTGGGAGCCATTTCTTGCCTTATTTTTGTCAGCCTCCAATGCCTGGAATTGGGGAACCTTGGGTTCTAACATGTTGAAAACAGGTTTGTTGTGAAGTGCTCCAGTTATTTAACAAGTGGGTTTCAAAGACCTATGCTTCCAGGTATAGCTGTAATAGTTGTAATGATAACAGCGGGAACAATAGCAGATAACAATTTTCGGATCCCAGGCACTCTTCTTGGGTTAGCTTTAGGCACTTTACATGGATTAATTCATTTAGTGATAACCCACTGAGTTGGGTGGTATCCATATCATTCTGGTCTTATGCAGTTGGAAATTGCAGAGGTTAAATGACTTTTCCAGGATATCACCTGTAATAAAGATGGATCTGTATTTGAACCATGGTCAGGATCCCCAAGATGAAAGGCATTTTCTCTATTTAAGGGCACCCAGTGTAACAGGGAGATGGACACCTCCACACACAACCTAGTAAGTGCTATGGAATCTCAGAGGACAGACTCCAACTTCCCCAAGAGGTAGGGATAAAGGTGTCCTTCTCAAAGTGGGGTGTTTGAGGAATAGAGTTTGCCAGACTGGGCAGGGAGGGATGAGGTTCCTCACATTAGAATATCATGTGTAAAAGTTTAAGCACACCTAGGAACAGTCAGAAGTTGAATCAGCAGCTGGAAACAGGTCAAGTGGAATTTGGAAGATCAGGGCCTAATTTGAAGGGTTGAATTTTTGGCCTTGGGCAAGAGGGAATCACAGAGTTATTCTAGGCATGGGAGTGGTTATCAGATGTGCTTTCAGGAAGATCTCCAAGAAGTTCTGGTTGGTACTGATAGGAGTTGCTGTCTCTTGTTGCCTGCTTCTTGAAGCAAGGTGCTGTCCAGTGCATGGTAGATCCTGTGACTTTGAAGTATGATTCAGATCAAGATCATGGAGAGGTTTGATTCCTCTGAGATTCCAGTGTGAGTCCCCAATTTTTGTTCATCAGGAGGTATTTTTTTCCTTCTTTCTTTTTTTCCCCCTTAAAACAATAGTTGCCATACCAGCTGTTCTGGTTGAGGGGGAGTGATGGGTACAGTGTTAAAAATACACCCGAGGACTTGCCTTTTGGAATTCAGTCACATCTGCTGTACAGACAGATAGCTTAGGGCTGATTTTTCTTCTGGGTTGTTAGAGATTGTCAGAATGTGGGAAATGTGAAGTATACTGTGTGTGCAGTAGCTCTCTTCTGTAGTAGAGAAACCATTCACAAAATTCCTCTTCTATGTGTGATACATTATAGAATTCTCCAGATGATATGGAGTGTCATTCATTCTGGGTCCAAAAAAGGAACAAACCACTTTAAGTATTTAAACCAGAGGGAATTTAATGCAGGGAATGGTTGCAAAGATGCTAGAGAAATGAGAATGCAATCTGCAGGTAGTGAAGCAACCCAAAGATGAAGCAATCAACAGGAAACCATTGCCACCCATAAGATGAAGGGAGATGAGGGACAAAGAGAGGGGCGCCAGTCAGACTGCAGGGGCAACTGGCTCTGCCAGACAGGGACCACAGAGGTCCTCTGATAGAGCCTTGGGAAGGCACAGTGGCTGCAGCAGACTTCTCTACCCTTCCTGCTTGGGAACCCTGACCTGCAGAGACCATCCCCCTCTGCAGTGGGATAGAGCAGGAGAGCAAGGAATGGCTCTGAGGCCAAGCTGGGCCAGCACCAGAACTGTATGTATGTCAGGTTTTCAGAGTATTAGTCAAATGAAAACTCAAGTTGTCTTACTTTGGTGGGGGGAAATCTTCTGATAGCGTTCCTCCAATTTTAATGTGGATCCTGGGGATCTTGTTAAAATGCTAATGCTGGGTGGGGTTGAGGAAGTCTGGAATGTACATTTCTAACAATTTTGGAAGAGCTGCCCATGGTCCATGGAACACACTTTGAGAAACACACTTGAGGCATTTTTGTAAAGAGAAGCTTTACCAACCTTCAAATAAATCTTTGCATTATAAAGGCGTCTAAAAAACTTTCCTCCAGGTCTTGAGTGAAAATTCAGTGTGTATTGGTTTGGGATGGCCATTTATTGGTTTAGTATTTCATGCATGTCTGATGTTTTAGTGTTTGAATCTTTAGAGTTGAAGTTGTCCCTGCAAGCACATGGCATTATTTGTATTTTTTAAGAAAAATTTTTTAGTTGTAAATGGACACAATACCTTTATTTTATTTATTTATTTTTATGTGGTGCTGAGGATCAAACCCAGTGCCTCATAGGTATGAGGCAAACGCTCTCAACTGAGCCACAACCTCAGCCCCTTTATTTGTATTTCTTGACCATAATACACAGTAATGATTCTAGGACCACGTAGCTGGAATGGAAAAAAGAAAATGGAGCTAATACACTGGTAAATACATCAGCACATTATATAGTATTTTAAAATTTGAGTAAAGAACAGTGTAATTCTGTGAAGCTATCAGTTGAGTTTTTAAAAAAAAGTTTCTAAAACTTTGTTTTTGAATATATATGGAAGTGCTTGTATTCCTGATTTCAAATTTAAACAAGCATTTTTTTTTCTGTTAAATAAATACTAGTAGCAAATAGGTAAAAGGTTTAAGTTTTAAAAGACTTGAAAACCCCAACTTTATGAGATGCAATTCGCATACCATATAATTCACTTATTTAAACCATACAGTTCAGTGGTTTTTAGTATACTCACAGTTGTGCAACTGTCACCACAAACAATTTTAGAACACTTTTATTTCCATTTCCTCCTGGCTCCCTTAACCCTAATCTATTTTCTGTTTCTATGTATTTGCCTATTCTGGTCATTATACAAATACAGTCATATAGTGTCAGTTCTTTTCTTTGATTTCTTTCAGCATATTTTCAAGGTTCCTTCATGTTTAGCAAGTATTGGTACTTTCTTCTGTTTTTGGTACTGAGGATTGAACTCAGGTGCACTTAATCACTGAAGCAAATCCCCAGCCTTTTTTCGTTTTGTTTGTTTGTATTGGTGGTGCTGGAGATTGAACTCAGAGCCTTATGCATGCTAGATAAACACTCTGCCAACTGATCTATATCCCCAGTCCTGTCTTTTTGTATTTTATTTAGAGACAGAGTCTCACTGAGTTTCTTAGGGCCTCAATAAGTTGTGGAGGCTGGCTTTGAACTCTCGATCCTCCTGCCTCAGCCTCCCAAGCCGCTGGGATTACAGGTGTGTGCAACTGCACCTGGCACTTTATTCCTTTTTATTACATTATTCTATTGTAAGGATATACTGCATTTTATTCATTCATCAGTTGATGGATTTTTTTTTTTTTTGCATATTGGCTATTTAGGTAATGCTTCTATGAATGTTCATGTACAAGTTTTCATGTGGACATGTTTTTATTTCTCTTGAGTACACCTAGGAGTAGAAAAACTTTTGAAGAACTGTTGGTCTATTTTATGAACTTGCAGTACCATTTTATTTTCCCACCAGCAGTATATGAGAAGGGCTGCAGTTTCTCCACATCCTGGGCAACACTTGATACTTTTTGATTATAGCCATACTAGTAGGGATAAAGTGATGTTAAAAAAAAAAATTTTTTTTTCCCCCCTGTGTTGGGGATTGAACCCAGGGCCTTGTGCATGCTAGGCAAGCATTTTACCACTGAGCTATACCCCAGTCCTATAAAAGGTCTTAAATGCTTGTTTATTTTAGGATTTCAAAGCCTGAACTTTGTATCAGATGAAGCTTATTTAGACTTGCTCTCCAACTTATGAAGCTTGTGATTGATCATGGACAAATTTCTGAACCTCACTTGAAACTAGGTTTCTTCATCTGTAAACAGAGAAAATATTAGTTCTTTGGTCAGTTATAATGACAGTGTTAGATGTATGTTCTTGAGCATCAGTTTCTATACTGTAGAAAAGAAATAATAATCCCAATTCTTACATCCACAGAATAGAAATGGTAATGGAAACTCATAGACTCAAGTGGGACAATCTGTTAAAAATAAACACTTAGCACCTTACTGTTGTATAGTAAGTAATCATCTGGTGGTTGTTTTGATTATTGCTGTTTTTCTGATTGTTCACTTTTTAAAAAAATATTTATTTTTTAGTTATAGGTGGACACAATGTCTTTATTTTACTTTATGTGATGCTGAGTATCGAA